TTAATAAGATATTATACCAATATGTCTTAAGTAACTTTGTTCTTCATATCAAAAAACATATATTTGACAAATTTCACGAAATTCTATTCATTCTTTATCATATAATTTATATACAAATTTAAAAATTCCGAATATTTATGACGACCACTGTACATGTAACAATGATAGGAATATTATGCGATGTGGATATTTTTGGTTAAGAATAGTATTTCTATTAATTTTAAAATATAATAGTAACAAAATTAAAAATTCAATGTTACTTTGATAACAATACAAACAATTCTTTTATGTTTATCATTACTCAGCAGTGTTAGGCGTACCAAATCGGAAACTGTGCATTATTCTAAGTAATTCCGGCATTACGCGATTTTTATGTTGTTACGGCAACAATACGTGCACATGCTCATGTATTATGTCAAGCAAAAAAGGACTCTTCCGGAACGAATGTCTGCTCCGTCTCTGTCTCCGCCAATGCGGCACAAACGGATCTTGTGATTCCCTGTTATCCTCATGACTAGCTTGAATCAACTGTTGGGTAATTTATTTAACTTATTTATGCACTTTAGGGTTAGTATAACCCAAGTAATGCATTTTTATTGTTAATAAATGAAATAACGAAGTTGAAATTTCTTACATTTTCGGTGTGAACTTGGTCCACGGAACCTCAGTGCTAGAATATATAAAACGAAATTGGAGCAAAGTCAATAACGACCGAGAACGAAGATGATCCCAACGTCGACGATAATAATATTTTCTTCGGCTTAAGGGATTTGTTTTTTAAACCAAACTTTGCATTTGAAACTTTTAAAATTGGTTTCAAACTGATCAAACTAAACAAACTGAATAAACTGAAACTGATTTAAAGTAAATAGTTTGTTTTACAATTAATTTTATTTTAAAACATATAAAAACAGTTGCATTATATTAAACGTGATCTATCTATGATATCTTTCATATGGAGATGAAGAAATGGATCTTTTAACATGGTGGTAAAATCATATCAAAGAATACATCTTTCCACCAGTGTCGCATCTAAAAAAGCATTTTCTGTTGATCGAAACGCGATTACTAAAACGAAAAATTGTTTGCTGCCAGCAACTGCAAGAGCAAGCCTATGTACTACTGCGAGCAAATGGTATTCAAAATTTATATACATGTAATATTCGCATTTAGCATATTTCAACTATGAAGATGTCGACTTTAGCATTTAATGAAAATTGCGTATGTTTTTATTGCTGATTGTGCGAATAAAGAAACCTGTCCCAAATCAGAATTAGATTTGAGGTAAAATTGCTATTATATTTTCTCGAATCAGAATTGGTTTTGAGGTAAAATTTGCTGTGATAGTTTCATTTTTGGTATTTCGATAATGATAATGATAATTATATTACTTAATTATTGGAATTTCCATGCACGCTAATAACCACTGTATTGATGATGTACATGTATTTCGTACGCAATATGTACACGTAATACGATTTCATTCACGGGTTGTATTAGCATAGAAATTTCTAGCTCGCCTTTTTAAGACACGTTTTTGCAAAAACCGTTTAAGTGAACTCAAAATAACTAATTTGAGGTATTAGTGCTATTTTTACATGTATTTCGGTAACATTATTATATACCGTTACGTATTTAGAATTTTGTACTGCATTTTTTTTGTCTTCTGATACGTTTTCTAAAACTTGCGTTCATGATACATGTACACGTGTATCTACTTGTATGTAACACTGAAACGTAAATTCCCGAAAATGAACAACCCATGACAAATAATACCTTTATTATAAGCAAGTGACAATTAATATAACAAAATATAGGTGACAAATAAGAAAATTACTAGAAATAACGGAGTTGCTTATTTCGGGACTTTACGGTACATGTCTTGTATTGAATTTATGAATTACGCATTACATAACTGCGTATACTGTCATAATAAGTACATGTAATATCTAAAAGGAATAATAATTCCGGCAGAAATTCTAGCTCGTCTTTTTGGGACATTAATAATATTCTCGCTCTTATTTTTAGAATTTGCACAAATACATTTATGTATATATTTCTTTGTGCTGATAAACATTGTTATATAATTATAACAACTTTTTCTCTTTCCATCGTTCCTTCTTCCCACTTTTATAAGTGACCTCTTTGTTTCACTTTACAAAGTGAATTAAAGGATGATATTAAATCTTACTCATAATTGTAATAGTTGCGTTGCATGTCGTTATGATTTCTATTGTGATGAATGTTTTAACAGCCATACTCAAACTTATCAAGTTGAATGGCATAGAGAAAATAAAGATATCGAGAAGCTAATAAAAGAATGTGAACCATTTAGTTATTTACCTTTCAAGTGGATTCCATTTGAAAAATTCAACCATGTAGAATTTCTTGCAAAAGGAGGTTTTGCTACAGTCTACAAAGCATGTATGCACGATTACTACGGGTGGAATCATAAAGAAAACAAATTTAAGCAAGATTATAAACACAAAATCGTTGCGTTGAAAACATTAGACAATCCAAAGCAAATTACATTAGAGGTTATAAAGGAGGTAATAATGAATAGTTTTACAAGTGTGTGCAAGATGCTTTATTCTAATAATGTTAGATTTTTCAAAATAGATTCAGACTTCTCTCCAATGCAGTAACATTTACTTGGGAATAACAAAGAACCCAGATAAATGTGAATACTCGATAGTAATGAAATACGCCAAGTATGGCAACCTTCGCAATTATTTAAATTCTAACTACAAACAATTAACTTGGAAAGAAATTTTAAAATATTTATATAATATTATCTTCGACTTGCGGAAAATTCACAAAGAAGGCTTTGTGCATCACGATCTTCACCCCGGAAATATATTGATGACGTTAAATTACGCGCAGATCGCCGATTTCGGACTTGCCAGCCCAGCGGATATTGAAGAAACTAATCGAGGAATTTACGGAGTTCTTCCTTATATTAGCCCAGAGGTATTAAATGGAAAGCCATACACCAAATCTGCAGACATTTATAGTTTTGGGATGATCATGCACGAAATTGTAACAGGCGAACGACCATTCGATGAACGAGCTCATGATATACACCTTGTAGCTGACATCTATCAAGGAGTACGACCTACGATGCCAAACAATGTTCCCGGGTGGTGTAAATTTGTTATTGAAAAATGCTGGAATCATATCCCAGAAAATAGACCATCTGCTGAGGAACTTTATGACTTTATCGAATCTATTATCAGAAACGGTGACATAGATACACTGAATGCTTTGAATTTTCAGGACTACGGTTCTTTAGGATATGATAATACAGAAAAAATCAAAGAGTGTCTTAGATTAGCAAGGCAGAAATTAAAAGAACTTGATGAGGAAATAAAACTGCAAAAAAATATTTCTACAAAATCGAAAACTAGCCACCCAAACGCAATTTACTACAGTCGATTCTTTAATAAAAAACCAGTTTCATTTCAAACACCTGCAGGTACATTCATATATTCTAAATATAAAAATCAAACTAGTATTCATATTAATGATAAAAACTATCTACGATATTAGGTTCTAGAACTTGGAATCTGTATGTTCCAAATGAAACTAAGAATGCAAATGAAGGTAATATTAACTTTTCAATTTATTATTGTATTTATCAGAAAATAGGTGCTAGGCAAATCAATTCTGTTATTATGAATTTTATTTGCATTATTTTATTAAATACTTGTTTATGTTTTAGAATATATGACTACTGAACATAATATTGATATTAATGTCGATGCTAATGCAAGCTCTCATGTTCCAAACGAAGCAAACTAACGAGTATTTGATATTTAAGCGGAATTACGAAGTTGTATTACGAGTATCCTTTTAATATACGTTGTGACTATTGTTCCGAATCACAATCGGCCAAATTAGAATAGAGCATGCTAGAATTAGAGTAAAGTGTAATTGTTTATACATGATTTGGGATATACATGTACACTCCCCGGTCAAAAGTCTCCGACCATCTGTTTAAAATAAGATTGCGCCAAAACTATTAAGCATAAATAAATAAAATTTTTTTTCCATGCAGCGCTTGGCTTCAACTGGAAATAAAAAAAAATTTTTTCTTTTACAATGTCCAAAAGGCGTGAACTTACTGAGTTTGAATAAGGAGAGATTATAGGTCTCTGGAAAGGAGGCCATAGTGAATGAAATATTGGAGAAATTCTTGGACATTCTAAAACCACTATTGATGACACTATAATAAAATATAAAATTCAGGAAATGTTACAGATACTTTACATTAAGAAAGGCCATCAAAACTCACAAAAAGAGAAATTAAAAGTCTTGTAAAATTAGTTAAGGAAGATTGGCAACAATTACTAGAGGAAATGACAAAAATTTAGTGAGTCTATCAATTTCAGTATCTTCTAGTACTGTAAAGCATACTTTATATATTGAGAGATTTTGTGGACAAGTTGGAAAGAAAAAACCATTTATTTCTGAACAAAATCATAAAAAAGACTAGAATGGTGTCATGAAAGAAGAAATTGAAATGATAAGTGGAATTCTATTATTTAAAGTGATGTATAATATTTTAAAATGATATATATTATTGGATTTGTCATAAATCATGTGAAAAATATAATGTAAGTTGCTTAATTCCAACTATAAAATCTGGAAATCAAGAGATTATAATATGATAGTATTTTACAAAAGATAAAATTGATCTTTTAAATTCAAGTTTCAGATAGAATAGCAGGTTTTATATATATAAACATATTAGAAAATAATTCACAATATATTTTTCAAGATAATAATGCCTTAATATATAAGATAAGAATAATTAATCAATAAAAAGAAAATAATTTGGTATTAAGTCTTTTATAATTTATATAAAGTTCAAATCTTAATTCAATTAAACATGTATGTAATGTTTTAAAAAAAGAATTAGAAAATATAAATCTTATTCAAAAAATATTATAAAATTAATAATAGTTTTCAAGGAAAAGTAGAATAAAATTGAGTCTGAAATTTTAATAAATTTAATTGAAAGTTTATCAAATTCAAGCAGTAATAGATATTTATGAGAATTCAATTAAATATTAATAAAATTTATATTTTTCTGAATAAAATAATATAAATTTTTTATAATATTTATTTATAAATTATCAAAAAATTAATTATTAAAGTTATATATTTTTATCTAATTTTAAAATAATTAAATACTTTTAATTAGGAAGTATATATATCAGATCTTGTGATTAGTAATATATTAAATAGAAATTTATAAATATTAATTTGAAAAATCATAAATATTAGTTTGAAAAATATAATATTTGGATAAAATTTGAAATAAAATTCATATTTAATTTTGATCAGCATTAAATTTAAATTATAATTCTGATTAATATTAAAAAATTAAATAAAATATTAAGTTTTTATTAATTTAATATATTAAAATATATTATATTCAATATTTTAAATGAATAGTACTTAAATTTTGCCAATTAATATGTAAAAAATTATTATAAATTGAAAAATTATATTC